TACAATGGGGACAGAGTATAGCTCATTGGTAGAACACTGCCTATATGTATAAGGTGTGGGTTCAATTGCCAACACTGCCAAAAAAAAAAAAAAAACTTTAAACTTTTAAACCATTTTAAATGCAAAATGATATGAAAAGATAATGTATTAGTCCATCTCCTATCACTATTACATGATAGTGAGTGATCTGTAAAGAAAAGAGGTTTATCTAGCTCATAATTCTGAGGTTCAAAAGCATGATCCCAGAGCATAGCACCAACATTTGCTCAGCTCTGGTGAGAGCCTCATGGAGGATGCATTACAGCGGTGAGGGCACATGCAAAGATGGATTCAGGAGCCAGGATTCCTGCAACAATCCATGGAACTAACTGCAGGTGCTCCAAAACCACATAAATCCCTTCGGAGGACTGCTCCCTCATGGACCTAATCACCACACATTAGGCCCCACCTCTTAAACGTCCCATACCTCCCAACAGTCATGATGAGGACCAAGTTCCTAGCACATAAACCTTTGAGGGTTACTTACTTTTCTCTCATTGCTGGGACAAAATACCCAACAGCCAAAGTTAAAAGGGAAGGGTTTATTTGGTTTACAGTTCATAGAAATTTCAGTCCATAATCAGCTAACTCCAAGGCAAGAATAACAAATAGGCAGCAAAGGTAAAAGAGTTTAACAACATCTTTCAGCCCCTTTTATCTTATTCACACTGCTGGGATTTTGGTGGTGCCAAACTAATCACTCACCCTTAACCCCAGCTCACACATTCCACTTCAACTACCCCTGAAAAAGAAAGTCCCACCTCCTCTGCATGAGGCTTTGGGGAGACATCTAAATGCAAACTATAGTGCAGAAAAACCACATTTGAAACATAGCAACATAAATCATTTCTTTCTCCTAAAGAAGAGTAACTATACTAAACTTCATTTTTCAAGTTTGGCAACAAAACAAACCAGTTTGGAGTTTTAATCACATCCATTAAAATATTCATTCCACCAGCTAACACTCCTTTACATTTCCTTTAGAAGTCTAAGATTTCAGAGGAAAGCACTATCACAATCATTGCCTCCAAGACAGCAGATAACACTCGCGCCTGATGGTTCCTAAAGTGATATACATACTGGGCTGCATGCATTTCCACAGCTTTAAATTACTGAATACAGCTAAATAATTGCAACTACAACATCCAAGTCAATGTCCAGTCTCCCTTCCTAAAAGGCCTCTTGCACTGAGACAAACAGCCTTTGTGGCTATCCTTGGCTCACTGATAGGATCTGACTATGCTTTCTGTGGATGGTCTGACAGGAGTGTCGGGTAACAAATGGTCATTCACCCAAAGAATCTACCCATGAAATACATATGAACATATATAAAAATGATAACTCAAAAAAATGTTTGAAGTCTAATTCCCTAGAGAAATGTAAAAAATGTTTCTATGTTTTCTGTGGACTCCTATTAAGCAGAAAGAGTACTTCATGATCTTGAGTAGAAAACAGGTAAGCACACAAAGATGGATTTATTTGTTATACTACACTCCAAACTTTACTACCTTGCTGTTCTTTCTGTTGTTTATTATTTATTACTAAAGTAGTATAAGGTTACAGGTCTACTTGGCTTGCTTTGATAAGGAACTTTAAAAGCTCCTCAGCCCCTCTCCAAACAAAAGCTGCCCTCAAACAGGCTGGGGTTGCCACATGTAAACAATTAGGTCTTGTAAGACTATAATAATTGATGTATATGTTACACCACATATTCCTCATAGCTAAAGTAACCATTAGATTATGCAGAAAAATATTTATTTAATTTATAAAACTAATAAAGATAGCTGAAATATTAAATAGGAAGTGGTAATTCTAGTTCCATATTTATTTTTGTTTTGATTCACAAAAAAACAATCTTACAATGGAATTCAAAGTCATAAAAACCTCATTAACTCATAACAGCAAGAACCTATCTGATTATCATCATTTTATACCTAAAATACAACAGGCACTCTAAATGGCTGGCTGGCTGGTGGGAAGGATGGATGGATGGAGGCATTTACAGAAATTCATATAATGGGCTCAGATTATTATGAGTACAGAGGTTATCATTACTATCCCCTTTCTTTTACAATGTAAAACCAGAGTTAACAAACTTTTTTGTAAAGGAACAGATGATAAATATTTTAGGGTTTGTGAACCATATGGTTGGTTGCATTGCAATTACTCAATCCTGGTCTCTTTGGCAACTATTCAACTCTACCATTACAGTACAATAAGTAAACAAATAAGCATGACTATTTAAATAAAACTTTATTTACAACAGCAGAATGTTCATGAAAACATCCAAATCCTATGGAGAACACTTTCTTATATTGGACCCTCTATCCCCTAAAGATGAGAAATTGGTTGATTTGCTAAATTCAGATCAGACATGTTTTGCTGGGTCAAAATCTGGCCAAGGGATATACGCTCAATCTCCACAGTGCCCATCACTTCCTCCTAATTTCAGTCCTGTTACCAGCCTGACCCATGCTGGTATGAATGCTAGTCAGGACAAGGGTAAAGGTGATTAATCAGATCTACTGAGCCAATCATAAAACATCAGCCATACAGGGCAGGCAGATTACAGAAAATTTATACCTGTGAATTCTGTTGTATAATTGGTTCCCAGGGTAGTGGACCATATCCATAACCACAACACAAGACTCCTTAAGTGCAAGTCCATAACTTCTAACTGTTTGCTCTTTCATCTAACAACTATTATCAACACCTAATGAAGTTTAAATATTCATTGATTTCCTGCTGTTTGATCTTTTCTAAAACAGTCTCCCCCACAGGGCTATACAGAGAATAACAATGGCAGAGCAGGATACAGGAGACAAGTACCAGGAAGGTGCAAAGTAAAAAGGGGAAAAATGAGTCACATGGAGAGCACCAGGTCTCCTTACAGGACTAAAGAAACCACATACAGATCTCCTGTGTGTGTTCCCATCTTCTATCAGATGTTAGGACTTCTTCATATTGCAGAAGCTGGGCAAAGGTTGGACAACCTAAAACTACCTCTTACTGTGACCAAGGTAAGGATAACACCTTGGTTAATCTCTATTTTAGACGATAGTACCCATGATGGGTAAACTCCCAAAAAGTACCTACATCTAGCAGAATAACTAAACTGTGATATTCTCATGGAATGCTCTATAGCAAAAGAAATGAACAATCTATAGCTATAGGCAATAATAGGGAAGAACCTAATACAAAGTTGAATGAGAAAAGCCGGACACAAAAAATACAATTTGCATTATATATTGTATATGCACACATTCATACACGAAAGAAAAACTAATTTATGCCTGTAGTTTTCCATGAAGGGAGCAGAACAGCATACAGAAGGAAGAATGAAGTTGTGGAGGTAACCCTGTTTCTTACTCTGCAAGCTGGTTACATGGGTGTATTCAGTTTGTGAGATTATACTGAGTAACACATTTATAAAATGTGTATTTTTTGTAGGTATGTTCTACTTCTTCAAGTTTTTAAAAATTACTATTTAAATAATCCTGAACACACTAGGCTCAAAAATATCTCCCTTCAAAGCCCCTTTTACACTCATTTTTTTTCAAAGCACAACCACATGGACAGCAAAGAACAAAAAAGCAACCTAGATCATTCCAAGAGTCCTATAACTCCAGACATAGCTCATTCTGAATATATCTTTTAAAGAACATTTACTGCTATCATTATCCTTTTGTTAAATCTCAACAACAGCAGTGTAGGAAGCTACCACTGTCCTAAATGACACACTTAAACAGACTTCTTTTAAACCATGCTAAAAATGGACAGCCCTAATTCATAAATGCCTTTAAAGAAATACTTAGGTAAAAGGTATCTTGAGACAGATACCAGAACAGGTATCTTGAGACTGGAATACACAATAGTCCACAGCCACCCTGTAAGAACCATAGATAACAGATACTGACAACAGTGTGTAATGATCTAGAGTCACAGTCATAGCTAAACACATCTGTTAGATTTTACACAAAATTGCAATCATGTAGTTAAATTAGAGTTGCAAAGCACTTTTAATCTCCCTAATATTAATTGTATTATATTAACATCAACTTCACATTGCCAATCTTTCCACATTGTTCTGCAAGTTTAAATTAAAAAAAAAAAAACAAAAAAACATTTGAGACATATGATCATGTTAGATCACAGAATTTGGTCTACTTAATCAATGTCAACCAGGACTAGGATAAGGGCAGTAATCAGATCCACTGACCCAAAGTAAAACATCAGCAATAGAGAGCAGACAGGCAAATTACAAGAATCAAGAAAGTACAGTAATCCCTTTCTTTACATTCAGATGTTTTTCATATCAAATTCATATTGCTTATCTATTACTTAAATCTTTGTTTACACTTCTTAAAATCTGGCTCTACTTTTGTTACTTATGAAGGAAGCATAGCTTGAAGATATACCCTTCCACAAAAAACTGTTATAATATTATGATTGTGTGTTGTACCGGAACCACTGAGCTAAATCCCAGCCCTGTGTCATAACTTATAAATGTCCTGAAATGTCTCTCAAGAGACTATCGTTGTTAGGAACTGTATCTCCCCCAAATTTAGGAGGAAATGCCATAATGTCTGCAACTTTCAAGTATTTCAGCAAAAAGTACAAACCTATACACAAACAAAATGTGGCAAAATGCTAACTACTATTAAAGCTAGGTAGTGGATGCACAGGAATTTATTGTTCTTTCTTTTCTTTTTTTGTTCTTTTGTGTTGTTTTGTTTTACTTGTTTGCTTTTTTTTTTGAGACAGGGTTTCCCTATGTAGTTCAGGGTGGCTTTGAACTCACTATGTTGCCCTGGTTGGCCTGGAACTCGAGGCGATCCTCCTGACTCAGCTTCCCAAATGCTAGGATTACAGGAGTGCACCACCATACCCAGCACCTTTTTGTAAATCTTCCATGATTAAAAATTTGTAAAGTAAAAAGCCGCATGCAAATTTTTACTCACTTGAATGGCTATCTTCTTTCAGCTAATCAAAAATGAACTGCTAAGTATGCCCAAGGACACATTCAGGGCTCACCCATTCTGGCTTCACCCTGCAGGAAAAAGCAAAACAACAGGTTATTACCAAAGATTTTTATTTAGTTAATGATATTTGGGTTGATAAAATGTACTTAGTATATGGCAAGCCTCTAGATTAAAATACTGAAAAGTGAAAAGACAAAAAAAGTAATCACAATTTTCACACATAAAGTAAAAAAAAATATATGGGAAACAACTGTCAGTCTCACCCACTCTAGGAATTTCTAAAACAAAAGAATTCCTCAGAAAGGTTTTCTTTTTTTCTTTTTCCCACCTGTATTGAGGTATGATTGACAAATACTGGACACCCTCAGGGTATACACAATGCAATGTTTTGGTATATGTATACACTGTGAAAGGATCAACACAACTCAAGCAAATTAACATAACATTCACCAGGTGTGGTGGCATATGCCTGTGATCCCAGAAATCGGGAGGCTGAGGCAGGAGGATCACGG